TCTGCATAGTATGCTTTTGAAAGACAGCATATTTTCTGAGCAGGGGTTTACTTGCATTGTACACACCTGTTTCTACAGCAGTAGAGAATGACATATGGAAAAACAATTGTCATTCTTTATGTCCATACACAGAGCAAATAAAGAAGATATCTTGAACATGAGGCATTTTGTTGAAGGCAGTAGCATATTGTATGTGTACAGAGATACCAGTCTTCATGTATCTGTGTAAAGAAACTTATATACAATAGAGATTTTTATATGCACAATGTATTCCACATAACATTCGCTTGCTCATCCAAAATGTTAGCATAGCGTAGCATAGCAAAGCAGCAGATGCTCAGTTAGAGTGGGCTGAGAAGTCTCTTGGGTTTTAAACTTCTGTAAGCTTTATTGCTACAATGAGGAAGGGTAGACTGATTGTCAGACCTGCAGACTGGAAGTCTGGCCTGCTAAACTCTTTTCCAAACTCTGCCAGTGACCTATTCTCTGACAGACAATTCAGGGAACCTCTTTGTGCCCTTCCTTGTGAAGGAGGAATAAGGATTCTTGACATTCTCCTAGTGCATCTGTGAGGCTTTATTACAAGGCTTTGAGAGCCTCTGCTGCAAAGCCTAGTAACATTGCAAATGTATTATGATTACCTTATTTCTCCTGTGTAACAGATGTTGTTCAGCTGCAGTTGAGTATTTAATTATTTTCCACAATTTTGGAAAATCAGGATGTATCTGTGGGACTTGGTTCAGCTGCCCCTTAACAGAGAGGGGTGTTCTCTTTCAGGAATTCAGTATATCAGGTGAGACAAATGAGCTTTATACATACTTGGCAGCTGGGTACCCCAGAGGCAGTGTGGACAGGACTTGAACACCAGAAGTGTCTTCCTCTGAGGTTGTATATAGTGGTCTGGAGTGAGGTTGAGAATACCTGCTATATTCTTTCTGAAGGAGATTGACGGTCCAGGTTGGCACTTACTCATATGCAGAGATTCATGGGCTGGTTTGCTGAACCTGTGTGAAATAGTTTCACAGCATTAGTCAGTCCCCAGTGAACCAGGTACCAGACTGCATCACCACTGCAGACAACACTGTGTGGCCATCTCAGGAGAGGCTAAGGACTAGAAGTACGTTGGACGTTGAGCTCTAATCCTTAGAAAAAGATTTACTGAGTTTCTAGGTTAGGGCCTGTTAGCAAAGTGCTTCTGCCTACCCTAGTGGATAAACTTGGCTTTGGTCCTTGAGGCTACACAAGCAGCACCAAAAAGGATGAACTTGATTAGAAAATTTGATGCAACTGAGGAATTCATTTCAAGAATGCCAGTTGCTTTCTGTTGCAGCCACACTTCTGTCATGGGCAAGAAAGAATTTAGGTGAATCACAGGAAAATAGGGCTGGGAAGAGATCACCTCATCAGCCAGCTCAAGGAAGGATCAATCCTATTTAAATCACTTCAGTCCATGGTCTCTTCACTAATTAAACAGGAATATATTCTCTGCTGATGCCTGCCTTGTGTGAGATGCTGATTCTATGAGTTCCCATCTCCTTTTCCTTGCATGCACTGTACTAAGAATGGAGATGGACGCATGCATTGACAGCAGGTCACAGCTGGGTGCAGAGTTCAGCAGGTTGCCTTGTGAGCAGGTGTCTTATGAAGTGGAAACCTGGTTGGCGCCTCTGTTTAGAGATTAATAGAGTTAGTCAGAATCATTGTGTACATATTTGCGTACTTCTCACATTTTATGTAATTGATTTCCTAGAAAAATACAGTATCTTTCCCTCCCACTGTGTTGACATTTCTCTTTCTGACCCTTGTCCGAAGTCAGCTCCATCTACTGTCTTCACTACCGTCGAGGCCAGGTGGTTCTTTTCATGTCATTTTATAAGAGTAATAGTAACTTGCAGTGTGCCATTCAGATAGTATGAATGGTGTGCTGTAGTAATGTACTGTTCCTAAGGATATTTATGCGAGACAGAATGAGTTATTGAGACCCTTGGCACACAAATTGGGCTTCTATTTTACCTGTACCTGTGAGAAGTGACCGGGAAAGGGACATCTCACAAAGCAGACAGGCTGGTCAGGTTGTGAATTCTGAAGCATTGCAAAATGCATGCCCTGGTTTGGCTATCGAGATATGTGAACTCATTAATCATACCAGGACAACTGCCAGTTATCTGACTTTAATTGGGGGCCTTCTAGTATTTAAGCTCACTTTTTTTTGCACTACACAGAGAGAATTTAATTCCTCTCCCAGTGAGGGGATGGAGACACTATAGAGGTGTGAATGTAACTCAAGGTCACTCAATGACCTACAGCTACTGGGGAGAAATTACATTATTCTGCACCATTTTCCTTCAGAGATTGCCGTTTTGGCAGCATGTTTAAGTGCTTGTATATTTGTCTTTTAAATTTTTTTGTTCCCCAAACTCTAATATTTTAGTGATTTGCAGTCCGCTGCATTATTATTATTATTATTATTATTATTATTATTATTATTATTATTATTATTATTATTATTATTAAAGATTTCCATGGAGGAAAAACTGCTGGCAAGGAGATTTTCTCTTGTTTTTTTGCCCAGAGAAAGGTGTGAATGAGAAGGAAAGAATAGTTACTTAGCTAGGGAGAGTCCATTTTGGGAAATGCAGTGTTGCCAATGCTAAAACTGGCTGGAGCATCAGGCTCCAAGGGTAATAATCAATGCTCAATGTCTAGTTGGCAGCCGGTATCAAGTGGAGTGCCGCAGGAGTTGGTCGTGGGGCTAGTTTTGTTCAGTGTCTTCATCCAGTGTCTTCATCAGTGACCTGGAAGATGGCATACAGTGCACCCTCAGCAAGTTTGCAGATGACACCAAGCTGGGGGGAGTAGTAGATATACTGGAGGGTAGGGCTAGGATTCAGAGTGACCTAGACAGATTGGAGGATTGGGCCAAAAGAAATCTCATGAGGTTCAACAAGGACAAGTGCAAAGTCCTGCACTTAGGATGGAACAGTCCCATGCACTGGTACAGCCTGGGGGCTGACTGGCTGGACAGCAGCTCTGCAGAAAAGGACCTGGAGGTTATAGTGGACAATAACCTGAATATGAGCCAGCAGTGTGCCCTTGTTGCCAGAAGGCTAATGGCATACTGGGCTACATTAGTAGGTACGTTGCCAGTAGGTCAAGGGAAGTGATTATTCCGCTCTATTCAGCACTGGTGTGGCCAGTGGAGTACTGTGTTCAGTTTTGGGGCCCCCACTACAGAAAGTATGTGGACAAATTGGAAAGAATCCAGTGGAGGGCAACAAAAATGGTAAGGGGGCTGGGAGACATGACTTATGAGGAAAAACTGAGGGAGCTGAGCTTAATTAGTCTAGAGAAGAGAAGATTGAGAAAGGATTTAATAGCAGCCTTCTACTATCTGAAAGGGAGTTTGAAAGTGGATGGAGCTGGACTGTTCTCAGAGGAGGCAGATTACAACAAGGAGCAATGATCTCAAGTTGCAGCAAGCGAAGTTTAGGTTAGCTATTAGGAAGAATTTTCGCACTAGAAGGGTAATAAAACACGTTATAAACAGATTATAAAGAGGGGTGGTGGAATTTCTGTCCTTGGAGATTTTTAAGACTTGGCTTGACAAAGCCTTGGCTGGGATGATCTAGTTGGGGCTGATCCTTCTTTGATCAGGGGGTTGGACTAGATGACTTGCTGAGATCCTATCCAACCCTATTTTTCTATGAACCCCACCACCACCCCACATCTTTCCAAATGAAGCTTTATCATCACCCCAAATTAAGATTGATCTCAAAATCACAAGATTCTTTTCAAAGATAAGTGTACATTGATTGTTGGTTGTTGATCTGATTGAGCTCCTGCTGCCTAGGAACAGGATGGGTGTTACCTACCTTCCCAAATATATTAAGCGTATGAATGTTAACAGCTTTCATTCCCATGTCTGCCTCTTCTCTGTGATCAGTTTTGCCCTTGTACCAGTTCTGCTCCTGTGTCAGTTTTGCCCTCCAGTCCCTATACATGTTCAGCCCTCATTCTGTCCCCAGCCACCACGTGAGCAAGTTCTGCCCCCTACCTAGCTTTTCCTCTGTTGTTCACAAGGGAGGGCAGAGGGGTGACAGGGCCCCTCTGAGCTGCTTGGATTTTTTTCTTTCTTTCTTTCTAAATCCCCCTCCTTATCTCTCCCTCCCCCTACCATTATCAAGGGGAGAGGAGGGGTATCAGCTCCTCCGGAGTGTGAGAAAGGCCTCTACCTGCTTGCGGCAGCAGCCCATATTGTATGTTCTGCCCTAGGAAGTAGGTTAGAGGAGTAGGCAGTCAATCAGAGGGGTGTCTTTCCCAGGCTGAGCTGTAATTTGTTATGGGGCTGGAACGCATGTCCTTGTGAGATTTCCTCTGGCCTTGTTACATGCCAAAAAAATCTTTGAGAATTGACAACACAAGAGGAGGGTGTTAAGAAAAATGTTTTTAATAGTTTTCTCTCCCCAACTAACCTAAAAGGACCTTCAGGCTATATAGCTCAAAATAGTGGCATGAACCATGCAACCCAGTTGCACAATGGCAGGCAAAATGGAGATGGTTCTCTGCAAAGCACCTGTTCATTTTTCTTTTAAAAGAAAAGGAGCTGAGCTCAGATTTGTTCTTCTGTGTTGTATGATTATTTCTCCCCAGAGTTACTGACATGTTGGTATTTCACTACACAATGCTACCTCCTTCCTAGGACAAATTCCCAAGCACATGCAGGTCACAAGCCCCGACTCTGACCTCTCACATTTTATGCCAACATATCCTCTTTTGATTTCAGTGGTGTTACCCCAACTTGACACTGGGGACAATCTAAGAATCAAGCTCCACAAGTACAGCTGGATATTGCAGTGTTTGTGCACCAGCAACCTTTGCAGGTGAAGTAGCAGCCAGTGCCCACGATGAGCTCATCTGTCACACAGGGAGTCAGTTCTCCATGGGTGGGCTAGTTAATTGGTCTCTGAGTCCTTTCCCAGTCTCTTCTGCTTTGCTTACAGAGCCGGCCCTTTCCCTCCTGCTTCTCCTTCCCGAGGGAACAGGCGATATGACGATGATGACCTGTCATCTTCCTCCAATGGGCCCTGCTGAGAACTTGATATGGTCTTGGCTGCAGCAGACTCCACAGGTATTTTTTTTCATTTTCTCAGTAAGTACCTGCTTAACTTTACAGCTTAGGAAAAGATGGAAAGAACTGCAGTCCTCCAGTAGCTCTCCATTCCCAGTGAAAACTGATAGATAGGATAGGAACCTCTTGTCTGAAGAGATGCATAAGCTAATTTATTTTTGGTTCTGGCACTGCTTCTGTAACCACACATTGAAGCAATGAAGCAGGAAGTCCTGGGATTGGACTGTGTTGCCTTATCAGAGCTCCAAAGGAAGGTAAGTACATCTGAAGGTTTTTAGGCTGTGATCTTCAAAAGAGCTACATTACTTAGGTTCCCAAATCCCATTGAATTTCAAAGAGATGTTGGGTTCTTAACACCATTAGGACCTTTACAAATCTCAATTTTAGATGAGATGTGCTGGGCAGGAAAACTCCTGTGCCAGATATAACAAACAAGCAATGATTTCAGTATGTAAGTCTGCCGATCATGTATTCACCCTGTTTGAGCTCCTTACCCGCTTTTATATTCTGCAGTACTATTCATCTCTTGGTAACACTAATAGATCTTTTTAGATTAAATACTAATACATTTGATTCACGTCCTGAGAAAAGTGCAGCCCAGTCCTGGTTGAGTAGTCCTAGGTTCTTAAATTTCTATTTCACCCTGGTGTTCTGTACTAAAATCAAAGAGAAAGAACAAGATCTTGCTTTAGGTTTAAAACCAGTGGATGCAGTTCAAACTGCATGAGGCTTCTGGTAGGAGGGTTTCACAAAAGACACTTTGTTCCCTGTGGGACAGATGCCACCAAATAGTAGAGTTTATTTCTTAATTATTTTTCTGGGCCTCTCCATTTCCAGCTTGCTCACAAACACTTCACACAGAGCTTTGCTTGGAATGGCATGAGGGGGCACCAGCAGTGGGGATTTGCTTTCTATGCATGGCATGACTCCCCTTGTCTGCATGAGCTTTCTTGTTCCTAGGATACACTTACTTGCCTTAATTTATGGAGCTTGCTTTATTATTTTTCCCCTTTGGCAGAGATCTGTTTTGACTTTCCCACTAAGCTCCTTTCTGAGCAGGGGCAAAATGTGGAGCACTGACTTTATTCGAGTGTAATTAAAGGATAGTCCTTGTGCTCAGGCAGGGTCTGTGCTGCTTCAGCTGGCTGCGGTTCAAGGAACATTCTATTTTATTTAACAGCAACTGCTCCTCGGTAGCAGAGAGCTATTTTTGAGACGGCAAAGGGACCCTCCCCCTCCTCTCCATTGGTGTAGGATGGAAGGAGGGGTTTCTCCTGGGTAGTGAGTTGGCAAGTAATGCAAGGAAAAAATTGACCCACTAAATGTCCATCTAGCCCAGGGGATGGGCAAAATACAGCCTGTGGGTCGAATCCATCCTGCCAAGCACTCCCCTCTGGCCTGCGGAGCCCCTCCAAAACCCACGTAATGGTGGCTGCCTCTCTAAAAGCCTCCAGCGGCACCAGCTGCAGCACCTCAGGCTGTTTCCTTGGGTTCTGGTTGCGACACAACCAACCCTGACCGCAGCCTCATCTACCTGGCCTCGCCCTGCCCTGGCTCAGGCCACGTTTGCAGCTTGTGAGGGGCGGGGGGGGCTGGGCCAGAACCTGTGGCGCTGGTGAGGGGAAAAAGCATCTAGGCCAGGTTCTGCTTTGCTGCACGGGATTGGAAAAGGGCCCTGACCTGCAGGTAAGCCCAGGAAAGCGACTGCTGGGCAGGCTTTCCCCATGCCGTGCCGCTCAGGCCGTGCAGGGTCGGGCTGGGCCGGCACTGGGGAGGGGAAACAGCAGCTGGACCACAGCTCCAGCCCAGTCAGCGCCAGGGAGGAGAGGTGGCAGCGGAGCCATGTGCTGCTTGGGAAAGGATGAGCCCAGCCGGAGTGGTAGGGGCTCAGCTGCACTTTTCCCCTGCCTGCGCCAGTCAGTCCCAAGCGGCACACAGCTCCACCTCTGCTGGCTGGTGCAGACCCAGCCAGGCCCGTCCCATCGACAGCAGCACGCAGCTGAAGTTAGCTTCCCATGTGCTGCTGGGGATGGGAGGAGCCCAGCCGGGTCTGCACTGGCCAGCAGAAGCGGCGGTGGAGCCATGTGCCGCTCGGGACTGACTGGCACGGGCAGGGGAAAAGTGCAGCTGAGCCCCTGCCGCTCCAGCCGGGCTTGTCCCGTCCCAAGCATGCGACTCTGCCGCCGCTTCTTCTGGCCGGTGCAGACCTGGCCAGGTTCCTCCCGTCCCCAGCAGCACGTGGGAGGCCGACTTCAGTCGCATGCTGCTTTTCCTGGCTGTTGCAGACCTGGCCGGGTCCGTCCCATCCAGAGCAGCGTGCAGCTGAAACCAGCTTCCCAGGTGCTGCTGGGGACAGGGCGAGCCCAACTGGGTCAGCACTGGCCAGCAGAAGTGGTGGCGGAGCCGCCTCCTTTTTGGACCAGCTGGCACAGGTAGGGGGAAGGTTCTGGGGGAGGTCTGATGCCTCTGAAACCCCACTGCTGGCGCAGGATGTTATAGGGGTCCCAACCCCTTGCTACCTGGTAAGTTGTGCAAGGGAAGGGACTTCTGGTGGCAAAGGTCAGGGGACGGGACTTCCAGTCCCCAGATGGTGACCAGGGTGGGGCAACTGAAGGGGTGGGACTACCCATGCAGCCCTCGACAGCTCGCCAAAACTCATCAAGCAGCCCTCCGCCCAAAATAATTGCCCACCCCTGATCTAGCCCTATTTCCCAGCAACAAGCAGTGTCAAATGCTTAGGGAAAAGATGTAGCCCCATCACTACCATGACTGTTAATCCAAAATAATATTAATTAATGCTATCAAAACTGACATGCTACTTTTAATTGGTAAAAATGAAGATTTCCTCCTTCAGTAATGTTCCAAGGGTATGGAGAAGGAAAATTTCTGAGCCCCACAAGATACCTCAAAGCATGAATTGATGGCCCTTGAAAATTTCCTCTTAGCTTGTGTGATAGCAGGTATCATTCTTGTTCATATGCATGCAATATTTTGATTTCTATCGAGCCATTTCATGGTGAGAAACAAACCCAAAGTTGCACTAAGGCTATGCAGAATCATTACTACCCCAGGAGCCAGAGGGGAAAACCCAGTATAAAAACACAGGCATCTGGTAGGTGCTTGGTCCTGATTGTGTCGTCTTTCTTCAAGCACATGACATGGATTGAAAGCAATAATGCCATCTAATTTTAGGAAATGCTTCAGGGCACCTTTTACACTTCATGGGGGTTTTGCTTATATGAGCTCTCACACTGTACTAGGCAAAAGCTCTCCTTTCCTGCCCGTCTCCAAATAGAGGGAGAACCAGAGATCACAGCCAACGTGTGATCACTTTTTCTCCCTCCATTTAGTCTAGATAGATTGGGCTTGTTATGGAAGGCAGAGAGGATTGTGTGTCATCCTTTAACACTGCAGCCCGTGTACCTAAGGGCACAGGTATGTGAACTAGCTAGCCAACACAAGATAAAATGAGGTGAATTTAAAGAGGCAGTATTTGTAGGGGCCCTCTGAGGAAGATCTCCATTGACATGCTTATTACAGCAGAGAAACAAAGGGTTTAGTAAGCTGGGGTGTGCTTACATCAAGCTTATTGTGTCTTGTGGGAAGTGACTTTTGGTCAAGCTTGAGGGCATGTGGAGGATAGGGGGCAATGTGGAGTAAGCTTGCTTGCATTGCCCCTCTCTGTGCTGTATCTGCTCTGTAGACCATTAAAGTAATTCAGGTCCTGGACACAAAGTATGGCAGCAGCAATGAAACTTGTGCAGGAAACCCTCACTATTTGCGGGTTTGGCATTCGCAGTTTCAAATATTCATGAATGCTGAACCCACATTTTAAATATACTTACAGAAGCTCCTTGGGAGCTCCGCGCTTCCTGCTCCTGGGCTCCCACCACTGCCAGTGAACTCCCACCATCACCAGAGCAGCCGTGCCCCCCCCCCCAGCCGCCAGGGCACGGGGTTCATGAATGCAGATGTCATTCTGAAACACAGTGCCTTATTCGCAGATTTCACCATTTGCAGGGATCACGAGAACATATCCCCTGCAAATGGTGAGGGTTGCCTGTATTGCTTTTATATATGAATGCAAGTTACAGTGGTGTTTGGAGCAGACAAACAATCAGGTCTTTGCGGGTAGCTGCCACACTATTCAGTTACTATTACAGTGTCTCACCACTCGGTGACAGGGGAGCTAATAGGTACTTGTTCCCATTTAGCCAAGTTACTCTGGGATAGAAATGGACACAAGACTAATGGTAGTGTCACTTTTCCCAGGGTAACTGCCATATTCTAGCAAGCTATATCAATGTAGGGCTACATTGATTTCAGCCAGTGTAAGCATAAGTTACCCTGGTAAAAATATGCCATGTTTCTGACCCCTCTGTCTCCAGAGCTATCGGTCCTACATTTTCAGCCATCACTAAATTAACCTAAAAAATTAAAGAGCTTTTTATGTAAGCTTTCTCAAGAGCATGCTTTTGAAGGTGGAGGCTATGGAAATCTATTTTTCATTGAGCTACTGGTACATCCACATACATTAAGGGTTTTCAATTCTCAGATGTTGGCTGTGTGCAGCACAGCTTATATTTGACTCCCCTTATTAAAAAAGGTTGGGATTGGAATAAGAGCCATAATGCAATACATTATTTATGTAAGGAAAAAGCCAATGTGATCCCAAGAGTCTTCGCTGCATTTTCTGCTTAATCTGTGTTTGCTTAAGTCATTGTTGGTCCCAGCATTTTTTTCTACCAGCACTGAAACTGAAAATGCCCAAGCAAGAAAAAAAAAACTAGATAGAAAAAGAATGACTCTTCCTCTGAGCAGACTGAAGTGAATTTAAGCGACAGTAACTGTAGGGGTTCTCAGAGGGAGACAGAAATGGGGGAACCACACTTAGTGTCAGATGAACAAACAAGTTACTAAGAATAATTACCAGTGTGCACATTCTTGTGCCCTGGTAAATGCAAGGCAACTCATCCATTTTCAGAGAGGGGTAAATTACCTCACATTTGCAGTGGGACAGGAGATAGCACACAGGCATTTACTACAGAATAGCTGATGAACAGGGATCCAGATTTTCACTTTCCCACGGAAATACACAGATTCCCCCTTTTACCCGAGAAGAACGTGGGTTTTTAATTTTAACAAAGAAACACACAGATTTTGCATTTTGCAAAGAGCTCTCTGCAGGCTGGCAGAGTTCCAGCCTACAAAGGGCAGGAGGAAGGTGGTCAGGCAGGGGGGCTCCATGTGCATGCAGCAGCTCCTGGCAGTAAGTCTGGCAGGGAGGGAGGTGGGATTGAGGTCCTCATAGGGAAGGAGGGAGGGAGTTGGGCAAGGCTGGAGCTGAGACGGGGTGGGACTGCTGCCCAGCTGGGTGGTGCGTGGGGCTTGTGGCCCAGGGCCAGAATGCATGGCCACGGGGCCTCGGTGGAGAGCAGGACAGGGCCATGGGCGGCTCGACTGGGGGGAGGGGGCTTCCTGCCACTGTGTGCACTCCCAGACGAGAGTACGCAGGGTGGGGGCAGGTGCAGGCTGCTCGCTGTGGGCTCAGGCTCCCCGCCCTGTTGCCATCCCCCTGGGGGCTCTGCAGCCCAGCAGGTGGGACCGGGTGCAGCAGGACAGAGCGAGACTGGGCAGGGGAGCTCTTCGCTGCTCCAAACCATGTGTTGCCCTGGTGAGGCATCCCCTGCCTGCCTGGCAGCAGTGGGGGCAGCAGCACAGGGTTGTGCCCCTCTGCTGCGGGGCAGGCAGGGAGCGTGTCACGAGGTCAGCACAGGGCTTGCAGCAGCAAGGGGCTTCCCTGCCCGGCTCCACTTTGCCTTGTAGTATAGGCACTTGGGGTACTTCCCCAAGTCCGGGGGCAAAAAGGTATAGTCTCCCTTAGTCCACAGGCCTAAGGGGTCTCTTAGGCATAATTTAGACCCACCCCTCAATAAGTCTCCCACACCAGTCAAAAAGGAGAACTTTATTGATTACAGGGGGTAGGGCAAACTAGGGTACAGGATAGAGCAATATCTAGAAATCCTAAAGAGCAAACAGCCTGGCTGTGGTAGCCTTTTGATTACGCATCTGTGATACTTCCAGCTAAATATCTAATCAGATTGAGTAGCTTACTCACAAGCATCTTCCAAAGGCAGGTGAAGTTTCCCTTTGGAGGCAGGCGGTTCCTAGCTCGTGAGTTTGGGGGGAGAGAGCCAGTTTCAGATGTTAAGGCTTCTCTGTCCCCTGCCTGGCTGCTGCGTCACCTCATGGCCGGAGAGGAGAGACCGCCTCCTTCCCCGTCCTAACTTATATAGCCCCTGTGACCTCATTCACCTGGGCCAGCGGAGGTCAGCCCCAGTTGGCTGTCAGCCAACCAATCTGAAATGCATCACCTGTTACCGGGCAGATTCCAGCTCCCCAGGTAGAAACCCCTTACCCAGGTAAGTGATGCAAGTCACGTAGGCAGAGGGAGCAGGTTTCCCCCTCCCTCAGGAATGCAGCCAGCTCCAGTTCCCTAAAGAGACAGGCTGAGGGTGTGGTCCCCTGTGTGCTGGGCCCATCCTAATTGAATGGTCACAGCACAGAGATTTAAATCACAGTGTCACAGGGCAGAGATTTTTGGGGAGAAACCAAGGTGGCTTTCTGCCACAGTAGGTATTTAGAATTTATTTTATTATAGTGATGAGTCACTGGTAGGCTTCCAAACTGCTTTAAAATACATTGTAAATGTATCAATAAAACATTGCATTCAACTGGTACCTATACAATAGTGGCATTTCTTTTTAATCACAGATTTTGGATTTTTTATCAGAGAATTTTTATCAGAGGATTTGTAATTTTTTATCAAAGAAAACCAAGATCCCTGCTGATGAATAACTGGCCAGTTTTGAAGCACATGCCACTGAGATATTACTACTGTTGTCACCCATACTTTTAAAATTACCTTTAGTATTGATGATCCTTCTGTAATGGTACCCTCATTTACTATATGGACGCTCCCAGTGCTGTAGCAAGGGGGACCGAGCAGGGCAACCACCCCAGGCACTGAAATTAAGGGGCACCAAGAGGTGCTGGCCAGCCAGGGAGGGGTGTGGGATGGAGCTGTGAGCAGCTCGTTTGGGACGGGTGCGGGGACAGGGGAAGGGCAGCTCCTGCCACTGCATGCAGGATCTATGTGCAGGGCAGGCTGCTGCTGTGGGCTTTACCCCGGGAGCCAAACTCATTGCTATGGCACTGGACACTCCACTGTTGTTTCAGCAGAGCGGGCCATAAAGACTGAACTCTGTCATCTGGGAGAGATTCACTTAACAGCAGGGCTTGATCTCACCACTAATGAGAAGTTAGGTGTAAGGTCATTACCAGAGATTACACTTGGGACTTGCAAGATCAGAATTCTACTGCATGAGGCAGAAGAGTAACTCCCTTACCTGGTAACAGTAGTGGGCTTTTTTCCCTATTAGTAGGTTGCCCTCTGCTAGAAATACTGCTTAAGTAGTTTGGTCTTGGAATGTCAATTCAGCAACTTTCATCAGCTTTACACCCTACTTTATAGAAAGAAAAATATTTTAGTTGGAAATTAATTTGATTTCTAAATGTAAAAATCCCAGCTGAGGAGCTTTAGTCATTATCCTAAACCACATTCTTCCCCCTTGTAGAAAACTGACCATATCCCTACTGTTCCCTTGCTTATATAAAATCTCTTTTCACTTCGCAGAAGGATCCTCTCCACTCAAACTCCATCTGGTGACAAGAAGACAGGAGAAGTGTCTTGAGTGACGCATGTGTAGCAGAAGCAGCCTCTGACATTTCCTCCCTTAACTCTGCGGTATCTTTGGTTCTCCTAGATAATAATGTGACTCTTCTCAAACCCCTCCTTTGGGAATGCACTGCTTGTCTTACCTAATGACTTATTCACTCATCAGCCTTTTTTTAGGTTGACAAATATCTTGCAAAGATAAGGCACTGGCCTTTGAAAATGTGGAGCCAGTAATTAAAATGAAGAATGTATTACAATAAAAAGTAGAAATATGAGCCTAAAAGCCACATTGGTATTTTTAGTGATGGGAGTTATTGAAGACTTCAGTTTAATAATTCAGTGCAGCTGAGATTAATAAATGATATGAGGTGGAAATGGTCTTTCAAGAAGAAGGATTTGAGAGGTATAGTTAACAATTTAATTTAGTGTATTCTGAAAAATGCAACATGAATTGCTATATAGTAACTTGACACAGGCCAAAGGTTTCTCAGCCCATTTTGTAAGAGAGGGATGGGGAATGTGCATCATGAATGAGGATCATGCCTAGTTAGTAATGCCATATTAACAGAGTCTGAGGAGCCAGGAATCCCATCTCTAAAACTGACTCCACCTACAACCTTTAGCAAATCATTTCTTAGTTTCTCCTTCTGCAATAATGTCAGGTTAGTACTGTGTCCCAACCTCTCAAGGGAAGACAGTACAATGGTGGAGGGAGGGCAAATGAGACCAAAATAAGGTGGTTGATCTTGGCATCACTCTCTTGCCTGCTCCAAAAACAGGTCTGCTGTAGGTTCCCAAAGAGCAAGCCAGTCCTGATATATATAGTATGGTGGAGAGAAGAGTGTGAATGAATCATCATGTTGGTTCTCATCATCCAGTGCAGAGAGCTGCCATGAGTAGCTCTCCCAAAGAGGTCAACTCCAGGTTTTCTACTTGGAACAAATCACAGACCCTGAGCACTTGCTATCTTAGTGCCCTGTCAGCCCTTCTCTACCCTCTGCTGCACCTCTCAGCAGCACCAGAAAATTCTGGTTGAAATTCCCTACTCAGTAAAAAGGCTTCACAAGAGATGGAGCTAGACTGTTCTCAGTGATGGCATATGACAGAGCAAGGAGCAATGGTCTCAAGTTGAACCAAGGGAAGCAGTAGGTTAGATATTAGGAAAATCTCTCTCAGGAGGAGGGTAGTAAAGCATTAAAAAAGGTTACCCAGAGAGGCTATGGGATCTCCATCCTTGGAGGTTTTTAAGACCTGGCTAGACAAAGCCTTGACTGGGATGAACTAGTTGAGAATGGTCCTACTTTGAGCAGGAGGTTGGACTAGATGACCTCCTGAGATCCCTTCCAAGTTTTCTATGATTCTAATTGAGCTGTGCCTCAGTGGCCTCATTGGTGACATAGGAGTGGTAGTGCTACCCTACCTCAGCATGAGGATTGATTCAGCAGTGTCCACAAAATGATTTGGAAATGCAGGGTACTGTACAAGTGAAAGGAGCTTAGCAAGGTTTTCACAAATACATATATGCATCTGTTGTCTTAGCTTACATGTGTGAGGTTGTAGACCTTTCATACACTAGGACCATGTTGATTTCTTTAATATTCCACCCTAGAGAGGGTCTCTGTTTGTGCAAGGAAAATCTGTGCTACAGTCTGTAGATCCCCTTGGCTGCTTGGATGCCTAAAAAGGCCCAGCTGTAAAAAGTGTCTGATACTGTCAGTGGGTGACAAAATATTATACCCTCTTGTGTCAGCCACAGTCCTGACTCCAGTGATCCATGCATTTCTGACCTGCAGGAGGTCCGCTTAATAATTAAGATAGAAGCTCACTTGTTCTTAAAAAACATAACTCCAGCCAGTCCTGAATGCAGTAGCCCTACTCGGAACATTTGTCTTGGTGTTTCTACATCATGTGCTGGCCTCGGTTCAAAGTCTCTGTCCAGATATTCACAGCTGTGCATATGCCTGCCTATCTGAACAATTGTCCTTTCCTCCATGTGAGCATGTCCTTCCACCAAAGCTACATTCCCTGGAAATGACAAAACTGCCATCCCAAAGAGACTTGTGAATATAGTAAACAGACTATTCTCAGGACCTGGCTGTAACTGTAAAAGAAGAATACCTACTAAATGTGCCCCATTTGGCAAGGTGCTTTACACATATGAGCCTCTTCCTCCTACAGAGCTCATGCATTCATCACTCCAACTGGACAACACAAAATCTGATTGACTTACCTTGCCACATTCAAAAAGATTTAGGAAACATCTTGTCTCCCACCCAACCCTTCAAACAAGCAGTTGTGCTAATGTTCTACTGCTGGTGTGCAAGAAGTATAAAGAATTTATAGTTTTGAGTTTGAAGTGATCATATTATGCATGCACTAGTTAACTAGACCTTCTCCAACATGCACGCATAGATTTTTTGCAAATACCCCATGGCCAACAGACAGTTTATGCCAGTTAGTTTGGGGTTTTTTTACTTCTGACTTTGGAAAAAAATCCTCCTTTTCCTTCCTTGATCTACATTAATTATGATGGAAGGATTGGGCCAAATTTGTGACTAATGTAAGCTAGACCATTTACACTGAAGTAAAAGGAATGGTCCTGTTTACACTGCAAGTGAGCTAAACTGAGCAGCTACTTCCCTCATGTCAGTGATCCCTCCCAAATTCAGTGGTTGATGTGGAGATTAGTGACTTCCTAAGGTGCAATATAATTTCAGTTTCTAAAATAACTTGACATTATATAGCAAGGTTTGGGAAACAGATGGGTTATTCATAGTTATATATACACACAAGTAACAACCTCAGTGGAAGCCATCATGTGAGCGAGGGAAGAAACTTGGCCCTGAATCTTTAAACAACCAAGTCTACCCCTGTGAAGAGAGATAAGGGCTTTGTCACAAATCTCAGCAGTTGTGTGGGGTTTGACATTTTGGTGTTATTTTTAAATAATAGCGTCCCTTGGGAATTTTCTCTCAGCAGTGCAGGGTTTTACTAGAGACAGCATTCTGACAGATTTCCAGAAAAACAGCTTTTTAATCATTGATTGAAACACATTTTTACTACTAAAAATTAAAAAAGAAAAATGATAAATCAGAACCCCTTTATGTGGAACACAGTAACCCTGGCAGAAAGGAGCACCGAATTTATTTTTTTTTAAGGAAGGGTTTCCGATCTTTTTTACAGCCTCATACTGTCTAGGACACCTGATAAAACTGGAAGCAGGAAGAGCATTAAATATAGAGCAATGGCTTGTACAGAAAGGCCCTGGGTTCTGTTTTATTCATTTTATCAGTTTAAATCCTATGATATTTTCCATGATTGCTACAGCAGCTTCCTATAAACTACACAGTACCATGTTAGTCCTTGAGCATGAGAATTGCATTGTTCCCATTTTGTTCTTAGTCCGTGCTGTTTAAGTGCCGATGTATTATTCAGATTTGGACTGAATTATGTTTCGATTTGACATGAGCTGCATTGCTTGCAGAAATACTGAATAAACCTGTACCAGGGAAACAGGTAACAGCTTCTGTAATGAAGCTGGGGGTGAATTAAGGTGACTTGTTGCTAACCAAACGAGAAATAGTTGCCTTTTAACATGACTCATTAAAATGATGGTGTGCCCCATTGGGTAATAGCAGCACCAGTAGAGAAAACCTATACTTACAAAGGCACTGATATAAGTAGATGGAGGAAAGTGGCTGAAATGCTGGTGATTTTTCTCCTTGTTTTTCTCTTCAAATTCTCTTTTCTTAAAGAAATGCCTCAGGCTTAGTGCTGCTAAGCTGGACAAGTCTTCAGAATGTTACCCCTTACATGTTCCCTGAGAGAGGACTGATTGCTGCTATCCTTATTTGACAGGAGGGAAGGGAACCTGAAGTGCAGAGCATAAAAGTGACTTAAGCCAAGGTCCACAGCAAAGAATACATCCTAGAAGCCTTCATTGCAGGTTTTGTTCTCTGAACGCTGCCCAGGACTGGAATTCTTCACTGATCCCTCCCATAACTCTGATAGTATATCTGAATCATTAGAAACCTCCATTTGTCCTTATTATATTTTATTAGTTATATACATTAACAGAGCACCTAGGAGCCCTAGTCATGGACAGAAGTCCATTGAGCCAGGGACTCTACAAACAGAGAACAGAAAGACGAACAGAAAGTCTTGGGGAGCTCACAAGTTTGATCAGCATGATAAGCAGTGATCTCTGCACCTCTGCAGCAGAATAACTGCTCTCAAGCTTTTGGTAGGCACCATTGCAAAGGAGAGTTTTAAGGAGGGATTTGAAGGAGAACAATGAAGTGGCTTTGTGGAGGAGCAGCTTGGGAGAAACTACCAAGATGCTTATTTAAAAACGTAACTAGTGGGCAGCGGAGGCTGGCATCATGGGCAGATGGGAGGTGGAGTCAGTCTCAGGAAGTGTATTAGTCAAGGTCTTATGTAGTGTTAAAGGAGATGATATATCATCTGGGCCAAAAGAATCCAAATATTAAACTTGTGGACTCACTGGCAAGACGGGTGTTGTTCAGGTAAAGCAGTTTTAACCAATCAAATGATACTATACATCAGTGGTACTCAACCTATCAGTCCCATGGGTCAGATGAGTGATGCAGGGCTGTTCTGCAGGGAAGACTGCATGCAGGGTCAGACTGTAACAGATCCAGCTGCGAAGTCCCCGCATGCACTGTTCTTATACCATGCACCAGCCCATCCCCATGTCAGATCTGGCCATGGTACAACCTGTGCACTGGCCTGATCCTGTTTGCCAAACCTTGTCATTAAACAACCCTGCATGCCAGATCCAGCCACAGAGTGACCCTGCATGCCAACTCAGTCATGCCAGCTGGATCCAGCCATTGAAGCAACCCTGCGTGCTGATGCGATCCAACCCACAGGACCATGTCATGCAGCCTGTAGGGCTCCCCACAGGCCAGAAATTTGGCTCCCAGAAGTGTAGCTATTAATGGTGCCAGCACTCCCCCATTTCTAAGTGTCTGAACCTGTGGGGAGCCCTGCAGGCTGATGACATGGCTTTGAGAGCTGGATCCAGTCTGTGGGGCTGTAGGTTGAACACCACTGCCCTACATCATTAGATATTTGCATCTTATTCACCTTCTTGTGACATTGCAGCCTTGAATAAGGGCACAGATATTCCCCTTCCCATCACCCACCACCAAGGAAAGTCTTGCTCCTGTTTTTACCCCATAGGCTAAAATGCATGAAGCTAAAAGGCACTCTTATAAATATCTTTACTTCAGTACCTGCAACAAAACCATTCAAGATTCTAGCT